TTATTTTTATAAGTTCTTATAATATTCATTATTATTTGCTAACTGGCTTTAATTACGGGAAAACGTTTACTTTCGATAACGGAGTCTAAGTAAACCGTAGAAAATTTTCGCTTATTAGGAATTTCGCGTTAGTAAAAATTCGCCCTGCTTTGAATATCCTCTTAAGCGAAGTCTGCTATACACAAAGAGTCAAAAATATTATAGTGGTAAACTTTTCACATTACGTAGCAGGGACCACGAACAGACATTGACTGAGGATAAAAAAAACTTCGAACTGGTTGATTATCCATTGGGAGAAGGGGTTTTATATTACTCATGCTTTAATTACCATTCTCACAGCAACACATATGTATACAGGGAGAAATACTGAGACAGAAGGGTGATATTGAGATGGATTTTTAGCAACTTTCGGCAGTCAGCCTTATGTAACCTTAACTTCGCAGGACCTAAGATTCCAACTTGTTCTAAGGAAGACCTGAAATATTTTCTGTACGTCCACGTATTTATTTATTTTCTGGTTACCTCATGAATTGTTTGCGTACGTATTCTTGTGTTAGGATTGTGATCAATTCGATCTCATTCCGTCTAACTGCTAAAATGCATCCGGCGGTATAAATTTATTTCAACACATTGGGATTCACAATCGGCAAGGTCTGCGGCTGCGGGACGTCAAACAGTTCTAACATAAAACAATTTTCGGGAAGACCTGTATGGCAACTAGACTTGCCAGCGGTTTTCAGAAGAACAATTATATTTTTATTAAATACTCACTCATTCATATCAAAGTATGCATATATATATGGTGAAGTCAATAATAGTATTCCGGATGTGTATATAAACACACATATATATAAAGCATCCAACAACTGACTGCGTTAAAACTGCGAAACCTTTCACGATATTAGCTGTAGCCTCTACTAATGAAGTGATGAATGAAAAATAATATAACAATAATAACAAAACAGAAAAGAATAACATGAACGAAATTATTTAACATTTAAAATTGATCGTATGATACACGTTCCAGAAATATAACAACGAATATAAAATATCCCTAAAAGCTTTCACATCATGATGTAAAAGTTTTGAATCTTTAAAGTTTTAAATTCTTACTTAGGTATTTTCTTTCCTTGAAAACTCCATGCTTCCTTGTTTTTATTCTCCGGTTTCTTTCGCCTAACTTTTATTGATCTTATCTCGTGTGTATTTGCTTACCATGAGCTATGTTCTATTATCTCAAAAAATTCACCTTTCTTATTCAAACGCATTATTTTTCGAAAACAATTATTTAAAAGGCCATTTCTGCACTGCTTTTGTCCTATCTCACAGGCCCCTGTCTTTCGGTATCGCCAATAGCTGAGTTCCAAATCCCGCAGTATCAAGTTTGCCCCCAAGCTTAAATTTGTTTTCTGATAATTTCGTTCCCTTTATCCGGACAGAGTTTGCACACTACCTTGTGTTTGATGACAAATATTCAAATATTCGCATAGCACATTGCAAACGTAAACAAATCGGTAGTTCAAAAGAAGCCACCTACATTTCACTGTGATGAACAAAAAAGTATTCTCATAAAAGGCAATCATATTTTGGAAATGCACTTAAGTAACATGCAATGAACCCCGCAACCGAAACACATTGTTCTTGAATATTTTCAAGAATGCTTGAATATCACCGTAGGTAATTTGGCAGATTAAGCAAGTAAGTTCTTGGATTTTGCTCTGCCATTTTAGTAACTCATTCATGTCGCTTCTCGCTAGTGATATCAGACGATAAACCGGACGAATACAACGTCCAATTCTTCCCGTGCTGGAATTCTACATTTACATCGTTTAAACATTGTCCTTTCATAGAGAGCATGGTTCGCACGAACAAAGTCGTAGGTGCGCATACAAATCATACTAATTGAACTAAGACTATGGTCATCAATGAATTTTGCGATAAGTATGACTAATTATCGATTTTAGATGGCTCGAATAACAAACAGTGTAGAAAGTTAACGTACAAGGCGGCAACTTATCTGTCTAAGGTTCATATAGCAAAACGCTTCTCTTTTGCCTAAACGGCAAATTGGGCAAAAACTGACCTGCCAAACTTTTCTCCCACAATCACATGCCATTCTGGGCCAAACTTCTTGTCCAGACATTGCTTTATAGCGCAGGCGAGGTCGTAGTCGGTGTCGTAGACCTTACAGGCGCACATTACCATCTCCAGAAAGAAAGACTCCAATTTCTCATGGAGGTCAACGCGCATGAACTGGGGTTTGTCGGCACAGGGATCAGGCTGCGGTCTAAGACATCTTGATAATGGAGGTGGTGCTTGCATAGTGTACGCGTTTGTTTTCGACAAGAAGTCGACGGAGAACTGCCGAATGTTACCTCGACTGCAGTTGCGCAAGATGTTTATATACGTCAAAGTAAAATGGTGACTTTATCCCTTGCCTCACCCGACTATGATTGGATAAAAGCGACCTTTTGGCATCTGGCAAACTGAACCTTCGTGTTAACTTTTTTGGGTAATCAATGTAAAGTGCAGAGTCGTGTGAGATTGCATGTCTTTGCACCTACTCATCCGCCAGCGGAAGTCCAAATTAAATTATGTAAAGTGAAGGTGCAGGTGCTTACTACGTCAGCCCGTCAATGTAAAAAGAAATTGGCTAATCCGTGTTCGTGAAATTCCCGTGCGAATTGACAATTGGGCTTTTGAACAAATCTAACTAAGTGAAAAATTAATCTGCGGCAAGCCTATCCTGTCATCGTACAAACGTCCTTCATGTTGATACTGGATAAGCCGTTAGGTTTGCTAAACAACGCTGACTCCCAGAAGGTGTAGCTCGCCTAAAAAAGGTTAAAAGCACCTGAGTCTATAAGGCAACGCAAAGTTAACATTTATTTAATTTCTACATAAAGTATTAATCCGGAAACAGCCAAAAATCACCAAGAAATCATCGTCTAATACTGCATTTTCTGCCATCGTAGATTATTCGACAGACACTGCAACATTGTGCTAACTGTGCCGGACGCTTAATTCTATTGAATAGCACTGTGACAGGTCGGTGAATGGTAGCAACGCCGCAGACTCTTGCTGTTACATCTCGGATGGATTTTGGACCTATTGCGATTTATTTGTTTTAATCGCTTTATTGTGGCCCACAAAATATATCTTGCAGTACTCTAAATCGGAAGATTACATACAATTCGCTAGCATTCTCTCAGGGCATGGGATTTCACACTCATAACGGTTAATGGGCAAATGCATAAATGCCACAAAAAAGCGCTACTAAAGGTGTGCAAGTCGGAAGTCATGGAGATGGCTAACAGAAACAGCAACAGGTTTTCCAGTGTTGTACCCTGGATTTCATGACTGCTTTCCGTCATTCCACCCAGATAATGATTTCAAATGAGTTGGCGGATTCTTTGTGTGCTTTCTGCCTCATAAACCTGCCCATAATGTCGTGGTTTATTTTAGCCATTTAATGACTTTGGCACCACCAAATTTTAAGCATTCCCTACATCATCCCCGGAAGAGGAAGAAGAGGAGACGACTTCTGAGACCAAATTATATTCCGGCTGACGTTTCAAAAGCTCTTGCGCTTCCATCGTCAGAGCAAGGTGTCTGTATTCCTGTGTGTGTCAGATAAATGTGAACGACCATTCACCCATGCGTCAGTCGATTGCGCTCCGAACAAGGCTAATATCGGCTCAGAACGGAGCAATAGGTAGAGATAAGCAGGGCCGACAGCCGGCAGCCGCGAGCAAAGAGGATGGAAACG